AAACCTAAAATTGATATATTTGTATATCAATATGAGTTTTCAAAATGCTTTCAAAAGAATCTATAACTAATATGTTTATTAGGATAACAATTATTACAAATAGTTTGGATACTCCTAGTAGGATTTATACTAATGTTTATATTATATACAAAATTATGAGATCCTTATCAAAATATTATGAAGTAAAGGGGATGACAATCCAAGAAACTAAGGATCTTATCAAACTTTTATTAAAAAGAGTTTATTGATTCATTAATGACTCATGAAATCACCATAAAAAACAAGAATTAGAAGAGAAAACAAAAAAGAATATGACTTTTAAACTCTTTTAGGAGATAGTGACTGCTATGTATTTAAATATTAGCTCTTTTATTTTGTATTTTTCAAGTGTTTTGTACTGTATATAAAATAATAGGCATAACATTTTATTTATAGAAAAACTTGAAAACTTTATAAATGATAAAATATCAATTTGCCTCTAAATTAATATCACATATTATTTCTAGATAAGTTTATAAATTTATTCAATGAAGTCCCTATTTTATTCTAATTCTAGAATTCTAATTTTCTAAATTAATTACATTCTAGCCCTAATTTTTAAAACTAATTTACGATCAAGTTACATTTAATTAGTCATTCCAATTTAATTTTTGATAAATTATTCTTGTGTGTGTGACCCATTGGATTCTCTAATAAGTTAGCTCAAATATAATTCATAGTCTTAAATAAAATAGGATTAAAAATTTTAAAGATATATTATCAATTCAATAATTAATTAATTTATATTTTAAAAATCAAATACAATGTCTAGCAATATATTATCAACAATGTTCTAATTTAGATATTACAGCATAAAATGTATTTACTTTGTCAAATCATATTTATTCTCAATACCATAGTCATTCATCTTTTCAATAAGATTTGAAACTCTTTTCAAATCTTTTTTTATTTTTTATAAGAATTTATAACTAATACTATTTAAGAACATATAAAATATTTTTTCTAATTCATATAGGGTGATGAATCATATCTTAATTATTCAAATACCTTTATATAATCATATTATACCTAATAATTGTTCGTTTGTTATCCTTGATCAAGATAATATATAACATGATCATAACATAACATTCTCTAAATAAGATAACCTAATTATTTTAAATCTAATGAACACTTACACAGTCATCACATGAGCCTTTTTATTGACACAAATGATCTTTTTATATTGAATTATTATATGGGTTAGTTCATTATACATATCATCTAATAAACACTTACATATTAGTTCTAGGTTATAAGAACAACATGTTCATTTCATAAAGAAAAAAAACATAATATGTACCCATTTTAATGGCTTTAATTAAAGTGCAGTTTTAATACAGTATTGACTAAAAATATTTTGGAATAATGCTATAAGAATTTCACAATTATAATAACTTTATAATTTTATTTGCAAAGTATTTTATTTCAATAACTTTGTCTTTGCTCTAGATTTATTAATAAAATATTTGATGAATATTAAAGATGAATAAAGTTTTTATTAAAAAATAAATATGTTTATATAAATAAAGTCAATATCACATTTAACAATGTGATTACCTAAAAAGCATATACACTAACACATAACCTTCATCATTGCCTAAAGATATAGTGGCAAAGCAAGAAACAAAAGACCCTAAGTTAGAGAGAAATACCGAATAAAAAAGAAAAAAAAATAAGGATTAAAAAAAAGAATATTTAAGATAGAAATAGAGGTTGTATGAGCTAGAAAGTATTAAAGACAATAAAAAAAAACTAAAAAGAGAAAAAACTAATCATAACAAAATAAATATATGGCCCAACCATCATTTTTTTCATCAATAACCTTTGCAATAACACTTCCTTATCTATGACCATTCCAAAAGTAAGACTATGACTTCTTCTTTTTTTTCCATCTTTTTACATAATGTTTTCACATGATTATTATTATTCATCTATTTTTTTATTTTGATTTTTTTTTGTTTCCTCCTAGCTTCACAATAATGTTAGATTCATTTATAAATTATATTGTCCCCATTATAAGTATGCATTGTGTAAAAATATTAATTATAAAAAATCAACAACTTTTTACTAATGCAATTTTTTTTTACTGAATTAATAATGGAATCAACTTTATTTCATAAAACTTTTGTTTTTGTGACCATTATACATATTCATTTATGTAAAAAAAACTCATTTTTGGAAATCAACAACTTTTCATTCATGTATTATTTTATTTTATTTTATTTTTGTTGGCTTTAAAATGTTGTTATTAGTATTTCATAAAAACTATGTTATCACCTTTTTTTTATGTATGCACGTGTGTATAAATATTTTCTTTTAAAATAAAAAGAAACATTTTGTCGATGAGTTTTGTCAAGTTTGAATCATGTTTTTTTTTTTATCAAAGTTTGATTTTAAAATACTTAGACTAGCGTGTCTCCTAGGTTGTAAGAATCAAAATAATCTTAGCTCGATGTTTTAAACTTGAACCCAAAAAAATATGTTGATGAGTTTTTCATCAAGTTAAAATAATTCATTGGTTAAAGTTTTATTTTATTATTAGGTTGACGAGTCTTTTATTTTTAGATATCAACATAGGTCGCGCGTGATATTTTAAACTAAAAATTAAAAAAATCATTTATCTATGAGACTCATGATGTTCTCAATAATAAATGACCTATGAATTTACTTGTAAATAATTTAGAAAACTAATGGTGTGAATAAAAAAATAAATTTTAAAAAAAAATACATAGCTAAGGTAACATTTCATTGAAAAGGATGCGGTAAAACTGATGTCTATTTTTTTTTAAATAATCAACCTTATATTTACATCCATGAAACTAGTGTATATTTTAGAATTATTAGTTTTCTTAAAAACTAGGAGTCTAATTCTCTTTTTAATTCTCTTTAATGTTGAGGGTTTTAATTTTTATTGGCTAACGACAACATGACAACTATACTAGGAACTAAGGTTAAGTCTATATATATATGTTTTATCTTTCGTTTCCTTTATTGTCATTTATTGATGTATATTTATTTATTTTATTTGCATTAATTTTATTGCATTTATTTTAAGTTTACGAGATTGAATTTGTTTATATAAATTAGATAGAAAGATTTAGATGGTAAATGTGACTTATATTCAATGATATTAATTTGAATTTTAACTTATATTGGAACTCACCTTATGCTTTAGATATTATAGAGTTATTTTCTTACTCTTATTGTATAAGGTTTGTTTCACCTTGACGAATACAAAAATCTCTATATTAAAAAGAAAGAAAAATAAAAATAATGGAGTCATGACATGATAATTAAGAGTCACGACATGATAATTAAAGAAAATTAGTAATTCTAAAATATATATTGATTTCAAAGATTCTTACTTAATAATTAGTATTGGGTTAGTTATGTTTAAGGAAAAATCAATGCCACTCTTACCACATCCTTTCAGATAAAAGATTGCATTTGCTATTTATTTTAGCCTAAACTTATTTTACATTTATTATTAGTTATCTAAATCTATTTCTAAGCTTAATTACAATTTATTTCAATAAAAAATAATATCGGTTCCTAAGAAGAGAAAATTTGTCCACAAATATTTTTTTTTATTAACTCCTAAAAATAGACAATTTTATTAATTTTAAAAAATTTAGATGTTAATCTCTAAAAATAAATAATTTTATGGATTTATGAGAAATCTTGATGTCAATCCTTAAAAACAAGATTTTGTGATGAAAGTAAAATTTTAACATTAATCCCTAACAATAAAATTTCACCCACGAAAGAATTTTTTTATGTTAATAACTAAAAGATTTTATTTTTTCTATATTGTCGGAGGTTCAAATTTAAGTTAATTACGGTGATGGATGTTATTAGTTTTTCTTCCGCCATAAGCATAATCAAAGCTGGTCAGGTTATTGAATCATCATCCAGTTCAAAATTGTCGATAAGACCTCCAAAACATCATATCATATATTCCTTTCCTAGAGCATCTGTTATAGCTAGGCTCGTCATATATTATTTGTTTTAAGTTTTATTATTTTATAATTTTATTTATAATGATATAAATTTATTTTTAAATCTAATATTTCAAAACAAGTACGACAATTCAAAGACTATCACTACTTTATTTACTAAATCACAACTATAAGTTTAATATATATATATCAACAGAGTTGTTGAATTCAAGTTCAAGTTCTAGCGGGAATAAAATTGGAGAATTGTTCTTTTCATATTTTTATTGAGTGTTTTTTATGTGGTATGTTTGTCATCTTTATAGTGTTTTATTTATTTACTGAACTTGTAAAATATTCTATAAATAATGAGATTAGTTACAGTGCACGTATGGTTGGACATCTACGTTACTCGAGATATATATATATATATATATATAACGTGATTGTTATTATCGCAATTATGTTCCTCGTAACATAAAGCTATTTCTAAATTTAATACCTCAAAACATGTAAAAATGGTCAGCAATTATCACTACTAATAAAATCTTGACTCTTAACACAATCGCATAATCCTTTACCGCACCATCCGATTAAAATCTTCTGCATGGGATTTCCAGCCTATCTTTCATAGTGAAGGAGGGAAGCGTTCGTGACAGTACAAATAAGAATCCAACTCTGAGATTGCAGGCATGTTCCCTAAGATCGAATAACAGTATGATATCGGAGCATCAATCAAATCACGGCAATCAAGTTAGTATTAACTCCCGTTCTTTGTTGTCAAATTCAGGCTTGGAGTTATGAGATGAAGATCTTGTAACATTTTGATTGCTTGTAGAAGCATGCATCATCTCAAAATATAAGCATTCATGAAGAAATTATGAGCAAAGCTTCTGAGCTGGTAGAATAGGGTTTTATAAAAGGTTTGATGAAGAGTGTGGGTTCTTGCTCTCTGTGGATTCGATGGATTATAAAAACCTTTTTAAAATTGTTAAACATCTCTGTTATAAAATAAAAAATAATAATAAATAACAAAAGAATCATGAAGGGCATGGCCAAGAAAAGAATTTGCTTGACATCTCTGTTAAAAAAAAAAAAAAGACCAGCCACTGTTGAAGTCGAATGATGATCGACATATCTACCATGGGAACCTATTTCACCTCGCATTCTAACTCATCTCAAGAACATCCGAGCTGAGAATCATGTCGTTTGCGCTCAATTCCTCAACGAGTCACCAGCATTAATTATCAAGCATTTGTAGCAAAACTTCGAAGGTTTATCACCATAACAGTAATATCATCAATATTGCCTCTGCTTAAAGACATATCTACAAGCTTTTTGCATGACTCTATTGAATTCTTGCCTCTTAAAATTATATCAACTGCTTCTTGCTCGTTTACCTGCAAAATTCCCACGAAATAATTAGTCATTCCCTGAACGTTTTTTTTCCCTTTGTGAATGGTATAAGATTTTTTGTAATTCTATTTTATATTTGTGTGGTTTCTTGGGTCATAAAACCTATATATAAATAGATAAACGCACCTTATCCCATAGACCATCAGATGCCATTATCAAGAACTGGCAATCAGAAGTCAATGGAACCCTTTTGATCTCAGGTTCAGAGATTATCCATTCTTTCAAATGCAAGTCTCCAATTGCTCTAGAAACGGCAAGGGATCCATGAACTCTCCAAATTCCATTGCGGCAATGGAGAAAACCACCCTGCATTAATTGATGTTTAACTTGGCTAATTAGCCTCTTGCTAATACTCATATGGAAAAAATTAACTGAAGGTTAATTGAGCTTTGATTTAATTTATAATTATTTAACTTACGGAATTCTCAATGCGCAGGCGCTCATCTTCTCTGTTAACTCTATGATCAATTGTTAATACATCAGCTACTCCATTCCTGCTTAAAACTACTCTACAGTCACCTGCATTTGCAGCATGTAATTCTCCATCTTTCAACAGCACAGTCGCTGCGCAAGCTCCACTGCTAACACCCTGCATGTGTATAAATCCAATTAAATAAACTACGCATATTTAAATGCAACTGGAACATTGCAAGGCTAGTTTAATGCATTTTTTTAATGAGATACGTGAAGTTTCAAGGTATCTTTACATCACCAAGGTCGGCATGGTATGTTCTAAGAAATGACACTATTCTTTTCTTTTCAGTGAAATACAATTGTCAGGTAGTTGGCTCCGCGTATTTAATGGCGGTGTCTTGCTTTTTCCTGCAAATGGTTTGTTGCTGAAATATTTTACTCCTCCTTTAAATATTTGTAAAATGAACTATAGACTTCAAATCCGGAGAAAATGTCAAAGTATGCCTTGAGGTCAATAAATTATGCATCACACTTCTGTGGCTATGGATTTTTTAATAAACATGCAGATGCAGGTCTTATTATGCTTTCTTTTCTTTTTTTCTATGTGAACTACAGTCCCGGGAATTCAGATTTTGACAGTTCCAACTCTCTTGGCATCAACTTCGAGTCCTTTAATCAACACTGGTTAATCTCTTGATGGAAAGAGAGTAATATCGATGGTGGCCTGTGTTGATAAATTTGAATTCCTCTTAAAACTTGATGTAAGAAGACCAAGTCAAACCATTCAATATTGTTTATAGAGGTATGTCATGTTCACCATTGAAAGTTGAAAGTTTACCTGGCTAAGAAACTCCTTGTCTGTAACCAAGTAGCCTCCTCGAATGGCCTGCTCTAACTGACCATCTTCCTTGCAACCAACATTTTGAAGACCTTTGACAATGTTCTTCCCTAAATTTTCAGCAACATAATCGACCGCGGCTCGGCCTCCATGTCCATCTATCACAGCAAAAAATGCCTATAGACAGAATAGAAGAAGCAGGGGTCAAAATCTTTTGAACATAAGCCGAGATTAAGCATCGGGAAAACCCTGAAAAAGGATCAGGCAAAACGAGGAGGGGGGGAAGGACTTGAAAATGTGACACAGAAAACTAAAGACTAAAAAAACAGATCTAGAAACTGAGGAACAATTAATGGAGCAGTTCAAACAGAACTATTGCTACAATGTTTATGTTATAGTTACAGCTTATTGATTAATTTATGGAATATGAAATACCTAAAACTCATCAGAGAGAGAGATCAGATTTAGATCATTACCTGCTTCGCATCTCCCAGAATATCAATCATGACGCCATATCCATCTTCCATGACCTCTTTCCTTCCTTTCTTACTAGCCAAATAGAAATCTCTCCCTTGAACCTCAAACTCTTTATTCTCCAACTTCCTATCTTCTTGAGCAAGTTCCACTTTTGGACAATACAGTGGCACAACCAGCCTTCCTGGCCTCTTCTTCAGATTGATAGCGCCATTGTTATGATATCCTTCTCCAACCTTTATTATTCTCAAAGAATCCGGTCCAGATTTCTTTATCAAGACATCAGAATTAATTCGTGAACTCTTATCATGCAAACCCTTTTGATGTGCTTCATAGGCCATGGTACTTTCTTGGATGATTTTCTCTTCGTAGTGCAAACCTTCTCTTTTCATGATACAGCTTTGAGTCTGTTGTGAAACATTACCTTCTTGATCATGTACAGGAACTGTTGTTTCTGAATCTTCTTTAATTAAAGGGGCTTTTATTTCTTCATGAAAAAACTGGCTAACAGTAAACGAGAGAGGAGGAGGAGAAGGCAAAGAAGAAGTAAGGCTGAAAGAGCCCATAGAAATGGCCTTCCTTAGTCTTCGAAGGAAGCATAGAGCAAGAGATATAAGAGAGAAACCCCATCGAAAATCCTCTAGATCGTTCATTATTTTGACAATACTTTTGTGTGCGCTAGCTTTCATTATTGTCAAATATTGCATGAGAGTTGTTGGAAAACAAAAGGAAAAAGAAAGAGAGCTGCGGTTCATGCAAAAGAAACACTAAATATTTGGTGATGTATAAGATCAGGTGATAATTAACGGGTCAAAGATGAATGATTCATGCATGGATTGAACAAATGTATTGCATTTAACGGTTTTCTCTGAGTTCTTGTGTGCTGTAGAAGCAGTAGTATTTGTAAGGAAAGGGCCGAAGATGGCAGCAAATGTTCTTGTTACCCTTGACATTTTCACAGCCAAGCAAGGAAAGGGCCAAAGAAGGCAGCAAATTTCTTTTTTGTTGCCTTTGACATTTTCACAGCCAAGGAAGGGGTCACCCATATACGGCTGAGAATGGAATATTATTATTTTTATTTTATTTTATTCATGTTTCAATAGTTTTTTTCATTTTTTTTTACCTAAATCCATTGTTAATCCACTAAACTCTAACTAATTTATAGAATCAAGTTAGTTAATTAAAAAATAAAACATTTTTAATAATAATATACTTTATAAATAATATTTAAATTTAAGATCTTATTTAAAAAAATACATGTATCAAATTACTCGACTCAACAACTAAGTATTCATGTTTCAATAGTTACTAAAATAAAGTTTTTAAGAGACTAATTAAATTTTAGATTTATTATAAATTTATATAGTTATTAATTTTAAAACTGGTAAAATTATTAAGATATATACAAGCTTGTCTGGTATCTAAATTAATAAAAAAAATTATTAAAATAGTAAATATAAAATTGTTTGACTTGGTAAAGAAATGGCTCTGACAGGTTTGAGCTGGTCAGGCCGCAGGACAGTGATGAATTTGCTGTGGAGACCTTGTGCTGTGTCAACGTTCTTGTTTTATATGTTTGCGTGCTTGCGGAAAATATCGAAAGCTTTGAAGCTACAGACGACGGGTACCTCTCTTTCATCAATTGCATAATAATTAACTATTTATAATAGACTCATTACTGAAACTCATCCTATTTTTTTTATTTTTTTTGGATTATGACTTGGCTTACAATCATGGATGTCAAATCCTAAACTTGAAGTAGAACATGGGTCCTATAATTAATTATTTTTATTAAAATAATATTGTTGCATTTTTTAATAAAAAAATGATATTAATCAATCTGTTTAAGTTTGATTTGTTCAATTACATTATTAAAAATTTAATTAAACCAACTAGGTTTTATTAGATAAATATTTTATTAAATTCAACTATAAATCAAGCTTGACACAGGATCTAGATCTTAGATATTCTAAGTAATTTATTAAATCGGGTAGGATTTAATAATAATTATTTTAAAAAAAAAATTTCAAATGTAATTATTTTTTAAAAAAGAAATAAGTAGGAAGCCAAACTTAATTCAGAATTAATGTTTACAAACTACAGAAACAACTGTTTTAAAAGATGTTTAGTAATGTAATAATAATTATTTTTTACTCAAAAATATAACAGGATAATAATTCTTAAAAAATATTTTTAATATTAATAAATTCATCCAAATGATACAAAAACTATATATATATATAAAAGAATTCAGACCAAAAAACACTCAAAATTTGTGAAAACGACGCCTTTTAAGTAGGAGTAGTGTCCATGCTCGATTGCAAAAGAAGTTGAGCTCCCTATCAAACGTATACAGAGGAGACACTCCCAATTGATGTATCATTCGCTAGACTTCTCTTAGTGATCGTGACTAGTTGACCACCACCATACATTAATACCCTTTGTCGCACAGTAAACATTATATAACTCTTTGAAATTCAAATTAAAAATAAAACAAAAGTTTATATTAAGCAATTAAAAACAAAATTACAAATTCCCAAATAAATATTGATTTTTTTAAAGATTCAACAATTAAGTTAGTTATATTTAAAATAAAATCTGTGTTGACTTTATGAAATTCTTTCTAGTGAAAGATTATTTTACTATATGTTTTTTTTAATTTATTATATGAATATTATTAATTGTCTATATTTATTTTTAAGCTTATTGTAATTTATTTTAATAAGAACAATTGAAATCGGTCCTTTATAATAGAAAACTTGTCGATTAAGGAAAGTTTTTATGTTAATTTCTAAAACTAGAATTCATTGATTTTTTATGTTAATCTCTGAAAATAAATAATTTTGCATATTTTAAAAAATATTTACACTAATCCCTAAAATAGATGATTTTGTAGAATTTGGAATTTTAATGAAAAATTTGATGTTATTCCTAAAAAATAAAATATTTCATCAATTTAAAAAAATTTGATTGTTAATCTCTAAAAATAAATGATTTTATCGATTTTAAAAAAAATAATATTAATTACTAAAAATAAATAATTTTTTTAATTTTTTTGTTTCTTTCTTTTAAACAAAACAATTAATTTCAATAGGATCTCAGATTAATTTAAAACATTAAGCTAATTCTTTTCTAACCAATACACCTCATATAAACAAATCAAACCTTGCAAATTGTGCTCCAACTTTTCATATTCATATTCGAATAAATATATAAAATTTGAATTCAAACATAACTAAAACCTAATAAAATTTAAAAGTTTTTTTCATATGTCATTATCCAAAAAGACAAAACACACTTCTAAACTCTAATTCTTTCTTTATTTTTTTAATCAAAGAAATATATCAAGTCTAGCACTACACTCTAAGCACATAAATTTGAGGTATCATTTTCTTTTCAATTTCGGCTCATTTTTTTTTCATTTCCATCCTCTTTCTTTATATTTTTTTTATGAAACTCTTTGATTTAAAATAAACTTGTTCATGACCAAAGACCCGAAGCTTTAAAACAAAAAAAACCTATTTAGGGTTTTATGGTGGTTTACTCCTTTTTTTTTTTAGTTTGGTTTTTTAGTGGTTATCGAATTTGATAAGAGTAATTTAGTATTTTTGAATTAGTTAAATATTATTTAATGTGAAAAAAGCGATTGCACATGGTATGTAAGCAAGCACATATAGGATCTTCTACAAAATTCAAACAACATGTATCATATCATCTAGTGACCAAAACTCTGCCTTCAAAGATTGCGTTGCGATCTTTATAGCATTGCCTTTATTTCTAGGCAGCATGTGTAGAGAAAGTATAACAGGTTTTATGCCAATGGATGTTTTTTTCTTTTCTTTCTTTCCTCCTCAATTTCAAAGTCAATCTCTCCATGTTTTCAAAGCAATTTTTTGATTTTTTTCTCTTTTTAAATTTGGTTTGTGCTTTTTTAATTGCTATTTATTTTATTTTATATTATATATAGGGTTTGAATTTTCTTTCAATTTAATTTTTATTTGGTATTTTTCACATTTCAAGCATGATCATCATGCTTTTTATTTTGAATTTTTTATCATTTTTTAATTAAATTATCTTTTGATTGCAACATTTAATATTTTATATCATTCTCTTAATTGGATGATTTTTTCAATTATATACCTTAATATTTTAGTTTATTTTTTTTATCTGATTTGTGTTTTTAAAGATACAAGAGAAATTCAAGTGTTTCTCATGTTAAACCAGGTTTATCAATCATTGTTGTTACATAGTGGTTTTTATCATATTATCAAATTAATCAAGATTTAATTTAATTATCATTTTTTTATGCTTTCAGAAAAAACAAACTTCTTCTTATCTTTTTTTTAGTAAAAACAAATTTTATTTGGCCCACAACATTGCGTTGGGCACCAACTTAGTTCTTGTAAGAACTAAAATAGATACTAATACAAAATAAAATTTAAAAAAAAACTTAAAAATATTCAAATTCACCCCTCAAGTTTTGAACTATACACATATGGTCTTTATTGTTTTATATTTTTAAGATTTAGTTCAATATTTTATTTTTAGCACACTCTAGTCTATGATAATTGATGAAGGAGAGACAATGACATGATAAAACAATAAAATAAGATAAAGTAGCTGGTTAACCATATTTTGGCCATCAAAATGGTTAAATTTAGTGTCATTAATGATAATGGTTTTTATTTTAGACATGCCATCAAAATAGACTAGGAGCTATTAATTAGTTTTTAATTCAATTTGATTTTAAATTTTTAAAGCGATTAGATGATGCTTTAAACTTTAAAATATGTATATTAAGATTTTTATTTTTTTAAAAGTTATTTTAGATAGAATCAAGTTAAAAAAAGATCTTTAAGGTACAATCACCCAGATCTTGAATTTTTTATCATCAAAAACGGCTGAAAATTATAGGAGTAGATGATAAAATTTACATCATGTCGTCAATTTTTATTTTTTTTAAGTATAATGCATAGAAATGGCCTTCTAGGCTCATTCGCTTGCCTTGCCGACATTAGTTGCACCTCACCTCTCTCTTTTCATTTATTATTTTAATTGAGTTTTAATTAATACATTCTCTCTAGTTTTTTTTTAAATTATTTTGTTTAACATTTTATAAATTATTAATTGATTGTTTGAGTTATTTTTATAGTTTTATAATACTTCAATGAAATTAATTTAATTTAATTTTAAATTTTTTAAATCTTAAATTATAGATAAATAAATTATGTTTTCATATTTTATTTATAATGTAGAAAACCATATACAATTAGGGAGTAGAATTAATCTCAAAGATAAATAAAAGGAATAGTTTGGATAAAATATTACATGTGCATTTTGCTTCTTAAAAAAAAGAGAAAGATAAGTTTCTCACTTTGATATTTTATTATCACAAATAACTCTTATTTAATTTACTAGTAATTATATTTTCTAATCTATTTTATTACATACAAATATCATTTTTTTCATTTCTTAATTAAAATTTTATATGGTTCTGCAAAATGGTTCCATAAAGATGTCCCTTTTTTTCTTTTTTTTTTGTAAAAAAATAATTTAAATTCCTACATGGTTTCACCTGCTAGCATAATTTTTAGATCTAGTTCAGTTCAAGGTTTAAATTCTAGATTTTGATTAGATCATGGAGTCACTCTGATTAATATTTTAAAAAAATTAAAATAATATTATTTTAATAAAAAAAAATAAAAATCAACGAATTAAAACCAAATTTTTGATTGAATCTTATTAGGCCAACTCATTGGTTCACATCAAGCCTTTTCTTTTCTTATTTTTTTTCAAAGTGATCGTGTTTCAGTTTTGGATTGGTCGAGTTAATTTATAAAGTTAAATTGAATTTTAAAATTATAATAATAAATAAAATTAAATAAATTTATTTTGAAGATAATTTTTTTTTAAAAAAAAGAGAATATAAAGCTGTCATGTTGCTGCCAGTCATGCTTTCAATTATTTATTATTCACGTTTGGTTCGAGAGAGATGC